CTCGATTACCCAGTTATTTAAAAAATGAATAAAAAACTAGCAATTTTTGTGACAAGCTAGCAATCAAAATATTTATGATATCTGAAAATTGGTGTATAAACGAGTTTAAAGTTATCATATTTTAAAGATTTGAATTGGAGGCAAAACTTAATTCTGAGGAAACGACAAATATAAAAAACAAAAGAATAAAACCATAATAAAAAGTTCATATAAACATATCAAAACCCTCCAGGAATATATTGTGAGTTTTTTCTTTATCACCTTTGTCTAACTAAGTCTTTTTAATTGTTCTTAGCTATTTTTTTAGCTTTATAGCTTCTTTATTATTTTTATTAAGTTTCATAGACGAAATGTATCCTGTTAGTTTGAATTCATTTAGTACAAATAGGATTCCATTAGGACCTTCATTAAATTCAATAACAGATGATTTAACTGCAGACTCTAAGAACCCTCTGCCCGCAAAAATAGTTTTCGGGCAGCATCTCTAAATAATCTGGTTAAGTGTGTCTTTGGCGTTTTAGTAAATCATCGGAAGATACATTACTAAAAGTTGGTTTTAAAATTTTGAAGACTGAAACAGAAATATTTACTTGCTTCACAGAAGTATGTTCACCATGTCTAAATGATATTTGCACTAAGTCTCAGTGTCTCTTGGACACATACGGTGTCGACATTCCTTGTCGTCAAAATCTGTACATCGAAACAAAACTGTCGAAACAGCTTTTTTCATAGCATACAAACTGTTAAGATTGTTTCTTATTTCTAGGCTATAGAAGTTCTGCATAAATTTGATCAAAGATTTAGTTAACTTTCTTTTTTCATGTAGTGATGTACTTGTTCCTTTGTAAGTTTATACCTTAAAAAATCTAGTGTCCATTTTCTTCTGTACAATTTGTATAAATTTTGCAATAAAAAATGTTATCAGGAACTTTAAGAATTTAGTTATAATCAATAAAATTGCTGCAAAGTAAAGTTTTCAAAACTTTGTGTTAGAGGGTGTTGTCGACAAGAACACATTAAAATGGTAATTTTCTTTGCATTTAAAGCTTCTATGCAAAAACTATGACTCTCTTGTGATCTTGTGATCAACTAACTTAAATAAGATACGTACTTAATGATATTAATCATGATTTTTTGTAAATTGGTATAAATAATTTTTTTTATAAAAAATAATAAAATAGTACTTTACTAAAATAGGATAATGTCAGTCTCTCTGGTTAAGGCTATGAACTTAATTCATGAAACACTTTTGAATAACTGTGTTTTTATAAAAATCTGTGAAAGTGATACCCAATTATGATTTTAATAACCCAGCAATTATTTTAATGTGCATTTGCAGTGAACATGTATAAGCATTTTGAGCAGTTTAATGGAGTTTTGCTCGTAGGTTACTTAAGGGATTTGCTAAAAGTGGCTAGCCAATAACTCTTCAACATGTAATATAAAAGCTAGTTGTTGGTAACAAATATGGCGGCTGCCACTAATGGTCCACTATGTAACTAATGAGCCTTTTTACAGTGGGAAAACAGTGAGAAACTCTCAAAATACCTAAAAAAAGTCTACTAAAATTCTGCTGTAAAATGTTTGCTGGAAAAGTTGTTTAAAACAAACAACCTTCCCAGCTGTGCGTATTTTTTTCACAAAGTCAAAATTAACTTTAAAATACTTAAAAAATGTATTACTTTGATTTTAAAAAATATGTCAGATGATTGTTGTATAGTTTTCAAAAATAATCAAAAATACTGCTATTTGTGTATTCAAAATGAGCGCATTTGTTAAATATAAATGCTATATTAAAAGCTTTATTTATTTATTAAAAATTTATTTTCATCAAGGTTCAATATATAGTTTTATATTCTGTAATAAAAAGATTTTTCCTGTTTCAATTGATTGTCCGTTTCTTTACCCTGAAAGTCTTATAATGCAACACCTCACAGTTAAAAACAAATTTCCAAAAAATCTTTTTCGTTTCAAAAGCAAAGTTTATATTTTTTAGACATTTGATTTAGTAAATATTACATCCAGCAAAAAAAAATTTCTTAAAAACGCATAAAAAAAAATTTTTATTAAACGTTTTTTTTTAAAAACCCAAGTACGAGATTTGTTAACTAATATTTATATAAAGTTTACTTGAACTCAGAAACTTAAAAACGCCACAATAATATGAAAAATGTCAAAATTTAGAAATGTGGATTTATTTAGTTTATAGCTTAATTTGAAGAAAATGATTAAAAAAACATACCCGAATGTCATTTTTATAATCTCCATGCATAAACCCTCTTTTTCAATGCATCCATATACTGATGATGACGATGATGACGATGATGATGATGATGATGATGATGATGATGATGATGATGATGATGATGATGATGATGATGATGATGATGATGATGATGATGATGATGATAGTAATGGTGATTATGATGATCATGTTGAAGATAATGATGTTTATATATGCATATATATATTTACAAGATATAACATGAAATTTGAATTTAAAAAAGTATACTTTAACATACTTTAAATGTTTATGTAGCCCTGATCACAAACCCAGCCCCGGCTAATTTTATCAAACCTGGCCCCGATCAAATATCAACCTTAACCACTTATTAGCCAATATCCAATTTTTGGCAGGGCCAAATAGCAATAAAGAATATTTTTCATACCTTTGAAACATCTAGAAGACTTTAATTTTTCAATTACAAAAAATAAAAGTCTTTCTCCTCTAACACTACCTGCGGTCATCACAGTTAGGCAAACTTTGGTATGCTTGCCTTCTGTGCACTTTTCATTTTTTAAATATAAACTTTTGTTAGGAAAACATTGGAAGAAAAGGCTGAATTCATCGACATTAAAAATATTTTCAAGTGGGTATCAAAAAAGAATTGTTGGCAGTGTGGTTTTGAGCCGTGGAGCAATCATTTGCTTATTAACAGACTTTGCCTCTCCAGAAATGTTTTTAAAAGATATACCATACCTTTATATTATATACCATACAAAATAAATTTATAATTGCTTCGACATAACTTGTATGCATGTTTGAATGTAACTTAAATGTCTTTGCAAGCTTCTAGATGTCCCATTCTGGAAAATATTTAATATATTGTAGAATTGTTAGTCATAAAAATTAGATAAAATAAAATATGAAATTAATTTAATTTTTCTTAAATTTGTCTACTCATCCATCCAAAGCATAAAATTTTTTGAATGTTTGGTATAATATTAAAGACTTTCGATACCTCTTGGTTTTTTTTTATTTCCTCTAATTCCAGTAGAGCTTCGTATTTCCGCTTTAAATTGTTTTCTTTATGCAGTCTCTTTGATGCCATCATTTCATTTAAACAGAAGAAAATAATACGTGCTAATCATTTTTCAAAAACTTAAAATATTTGAAATTTGAAAATAGAGTCCAATGGTTAACAAGTAGGTTGTTGAGGTTTTCAAATTATAGATATTTGAATTGTAGAAAGGTAAACATAGAGTTTCTTAAGCATATTTCACTGTGACTATATATATAATCAAATTATGGAGGCTTTCGAATTAGGGGGATTCAAACTAGATTGTGCTGAATTATTAAGTTCAGCATTATTATATACATATAGAACACATTTATGGAGGTTCCCACACAACTTATCAAAAATAAATGTTTTAAGGACCACACTACTACAACTTAATAAATTTAAAAATTTTGATATTAAACCATATTATAATTTTTAAATGAAATAAAAAACAATAAATTAAATCATCTTAAACCAATAATGATATTTCTTTTCAAGCTCAAACAAAACTTCAGGGAAAGACAAACTATTTTAAATGCTTTTAATTTATCATAAACAGGTTTATGAAGTGACTTTAAAAAGCCATCCTAAAAACATTAGAAACTTAGTTTTAATTTAATTCAAACAAGATAACTAATACTTAGAAAAAAAAAGAAAACAACTATAACTTTTAATTAAAGTTGGATTAATAAAAATGCTTTAAAAAAACATTGGGGTTTTTTCTTTCTTTATATTAGTCATCAAACACATAAATACAATTAAATTATGTTGAAGTTCAGAGAAAAATTTAGAAAGAATTATAAAAGGTCACAACAACGTACTGACAAACAAAATCATAATGATCTAAAAAACAAAATGTTTAAAACTACAACTGCAAACAAACAAAAAGTTAAATTATTTTTTTTCAAAACTTTATATATTTTTCAACAATTTTTAAAACATCTTTAAATCACTTATCAAAATATTTTTTTACCTTTTTTAACATAATATGTTTGACATATGATTTAAATTTATAATTTAACAGCATGATCTAAACTTATGGCAGAAAACTTTTGTTGCTTCACATGGAAAATGAGCTTAAAATTTTATTGAAATCCATAAAAAAATTAGTAATGCAAAAAGTAATCCAGAGAAAGTATTAAAAACTGATGCATTAAACTTTTTTTAAAACTGTTTAAAAAAATTGAACTGTTCAATCTCTACATAAATGTATGAATTGTTTGAGAAAGCACCAGAAAAACTAGGTATACTTGCTGCACATCAAATGCAAAGTAAAAATGAAACAATAGAGATGTGACCCTATTCAAGTGCAAAATATCTAGTGAAACAACTTACTGCTCTAGATAAAATCATCAAAAAATCTTAAAATGTGGCATATATGAAATTGATTATGATATATGACATTGACATGTTTTTTTTTTCATTAAAAAAAAGATAATAACTTTTAACTTTAGCAAAAGGAAATTAAAACATTGACTTGGTTATTTAAAAGTCTTATCTAAGAGACAGACAGTTTTCTCTGTACTTTTAAAGACTAATGCTTTCTTATATTTCTTATACCTTTATGTTTAATGCTTTAAAATTTTTCTAAAGATGGAGAGGAAGTTATAACATATTTCTAAGTACTATGCAAAAAAAGATTGACTTTGTACCTAGAGATAAATTATGTATAATATAATAAACTTTTAATGAATTCAAAAAACAATTCGTTTAACTTACCGTAAATCATGCAAACTCCAGTTTCATGGAAAAATCTGAACCTTTTCAATTTAAATAGCCATATGGTAAGAACTGTGAGTATTAGTAAACCTATCAACAAAAGAATGATTAAATTGTCCTGCAACTTTCGTTTATTTGCATCACGAATTGCAATCAATTTTTCTTCGTTAGTGATTTCACAGACGACTAGCGAAATTAAAGTAAGTATATTATACAAAATATACATTTTTATGTAATAGTGTTGTCAATATATTTGTATTACCAATGCAAGAGCTAGAACGCAAAAAATTGACTAAAACTTCTTTAGATTTCCTACCATACTTTTCCTATTCCCACGGTTGCAGGATTGAGGAAAATAAATATTATGATTTTTTGAGGTTATTCTTCCGAAATACGCGAACGACACTCGCGAAATTTAACGAACGACACTTTCGCGTAATTTAACATCTAATTATACTAATAATTATATTTAATTATTTAATTTAACGAACGACACTTTCGCGTAATTTAACTTTATCTAAATATACAGGGGTCCTGCATCTTAATTCGAAAACTCTTTTGCCATTCAAAAGTACGAAATGAAGTTAAAAAGTACGTATAACAAAAGAAAGCTGCGGAGCTTACTGCATTGTACTCTTAAGAAAAACGGGCGCGCGTGTAAGATAATATTATATATATATATATATATATATATATATATATATATATATATATATATATATATATATATATATATATATATATATATATATATATATATATATATATATATATATATATATATATATATATATATATATATATATATATATATATATATATATATATATATATATATATATATATATATATATATATTGCATCCCTAGAAAAAAAACAATAAGTGTCAAATGTGGTAGAATAACAATTTTTTTCACTCACACATTTATCAACATATATATACTAAGAGCATTATCTCTTGTCTCGACTGAAAATTGTTTACGGTATTTAGAAGCGATAAAGTGGGTCATCGTGCTATTTTTAACAAATTTTTCACTAAAATATTTTGTTTTAAAACCAGGATTTTATTTTCAAAAATAATTATCTTACTTTATAGAGGTATGTTTATATTATTTGTCTAATTTGAAAGGTTTTTGCATATAATTAATACGACTATAATATAACATAAATAATATAAAAAAATGCAGTACAAGTTAAGTTTGGTGAGTCAAAATTAGAATTTAACGTAGTGTTTTGAATATAAAATTTAAATGTAAGAAGTAAAATTTGTAAATGTAAATAGTTGTTATTGTTTGCTATCAAAATATCAAAATTTTGTTTACTCTGTTTTTAAACAAATTTTCGCTTTCACAATTGATTGTTACTTAAGATAAGAAATTCCAATTGTCCACCACTTTTTTTTGTTTTTCTATTTGCTTGATAGTAATACTTGCATCCTCTTTTAGTAAATTGTTAATGGAAGTCTTTCTTTTCTGTCTATTGTAAAGATTTCTGGACATTTTGTTGTAGAATCTTCAAACATTTGCTAAAATATTCAAAAAAGTTTATTATGAAAAGCATGGGCGCCCGCAGGATTTTTTTTTATGACCATACAAAATTTCCAACTCCCTCAAAATGAGGGGTGTGTAAATTTTGCACGGTCATAACTTTTGTAATTTAAAATATTTTTCTACGAAATTTAAAATGTGTCGATAAATTTAAGTTTAGTTTAAGATAGTAAAGTACTAGCAGGGACGTGGTGGTAATTGAACTCATAACTTCTCACTTATTAAACAAGCGCTCTACCGCTACACCATTTACACATTTTTCACTCTAAAAAACATCAAAATTAAAGGCATATATAAAATTAGCGTCAATGTAGTTAAATCAGTCTTTGATATTATTGAACCCTCATTGTTTCAAATATTTTAATCTCTCATTGAAGTCTGTAATTGTACCAGATAAACTTAAAATAGCCAAAATCACGTCGGTTTTTAAGTCTGGTGAAAAAATAATTGTTTCAAGCTACAAATCTATTTCTCTTTCTCAAAGTTGTTTGAACGCATTATGTATACGAACGCAATTATAGTTATACCTGCAGAAGGCTGCCTAAAAAATTTGTCAATTTAGGGCAACTTTTGTTTACTTTCTTCTCTTTCTTGGCATTGCTTGCGTTTAAACGCACCACTGGGTTTCGTCTTTTTACCCATAATTTTAGTTTTCTAATTTTATTTAAACAATAAAATATTAGATTGTGCTCGAGTAGGTAGGTACTCACTGTTCACTGACGACGTTAAAAGTAAAATAAAAGGAATAAGAAACACACTGATAAGCTACAAGTGTTGTTGGGGAATGATCCACATATCACTATCCATGTTTCTATATATATTATATATATTACATTCATTATTTCATTTGAATGTTTAAAAAGATTTGTTTTGGTTGAACAATTTAAAAGAATTTCGAATGATTTAAAAAAAATGTTTAAAAATCTTTGAAAAATGAGTTTTACACTTTGTTTGACGTAAAATGCGGCAAACGCTTCTGATAAAGTTTTTTGAAAAACTTTTAAATTGTTTTGTTTACAACTAAAAATATTCATTTAAATATACTTTATTTTTTATATTAAAGAAATAAAATAGAGAATTTATTTAAGTTTTATTGATTTTAATTTTTTAATATTCATCATGGTTTTTTTTTTTTTTTTACCCATTTCTACTTTTCTCTTGAAATATTTATATAATGAATATATTAAAAACGCCATTTTAAAACGATTGACGCAATTTTCTTACACAACTTTCTGGTAAGGATTCAAGAGCCCCCTGAGTTTGAGGGCTACCCCGCGTAGCCCCTAGGTAGCTACACCACTGATATTAACTGATTTTTTGATTGAAATAGTGAAGAATATTTTTAAGTGTAATATTAGTTTCAACGATGAGGAAATTCCAACTGGCATTTGCAATTCATGTAGAAACAAACTATAACGGCTTGATACTGTTTATTAGACAGATACCAGACTTGTACAATTTCAATTCAATTATCATTAAGCCATCTACTCGATAATCTGGTGCTCGCTAGTTTATAATTTGTAGGGTGACGAAACCAAAACTCAAAGAAAATCTGCCACAGATTGAGCTTGATATATTGAATCAAAAAAGAAAAATCTACCCTGAAACTGACCCTATCAAAGCTTTCAGTCCCAAACCCTCATCATCCCAGCCAGTTGAAAAAAGATGCAGTATTTGTTTATCAGTACTTGCGAAAGGACATCCACACCTTTACACTTAAGGTACAAAGCGGGAAAATGTACAGAAACTTGCTGTAGAGGGCCATAAGAGTTCTGAACAAATAGCAGCTAATTTAATCTCTAAAAGAGATGCCAAGAGGTACTGTCACACTTAATCAAGCAAGTGAAGATAAATTTTTAAAAATTCTGCCAGGACACTCAATGAAGTCCAAGCAGCAACTATTTACTGCTGAAAAGTTGGTCTAAGTTCAAAAAAATACAAATCTTTTCAATGTTGGTGTGAAATATTTTGTATCTAAACAACTCAATGGAAAAAAGAGCTGTAGAGGCAAACGTAAAGCAAAAACTGACAGCCTTTGGAAAAAATTAGCAGATTTTTTCATGATGTCAAATGTTGTCATTCTAGACAAAGAAATTAAAATTAAGTTCAAAAAGTTGTTCATTGCAAAAACCTGAATGCCTTAATCAACTATATTCTCTTAGTAAGAGGACTTACATCTTATCATTTAATTAAACTTGGAATTGATGGAGGTAGTTCATTTTTGAAAATTAACTTTAGCGTAATTGACACATATTCCAAGCAAAGTTATACTCAAGGATCATCATGCCTCCAATCAAGTTCTTCTGCCCAGGATGGTGGTGTAAAAAAACAGCTGATTGTTGCTGGAGCAGAAGGTATTCCTGAAACATATAAAAATCTTAGGACACTATTAAGCCCATACAAATTGAAGATGTATCTTACATAATTTCATGTGACATGAAAGTAGCCAACATTATATGTGGTATCCAGTCTCACTCTAGTAAACACCTATGTTGCTGGTGTGACATCGAGTCTAACAACCTTACAAACTCTGACCAATCAAGAACATTTAGTTCTTTATGCAACAGTTATGCTGGATTCCTCTCTTCAGACTCAAAACTTCAATTGGCTAAGAATTATGCTTGAAAAAATGTTGTCCACCCTTCATTAATTAACCCCTACGTGTAATCTGAGCTTATTCTTGATGTAATTCTTCCAATTGAACTCCATCATTTTCTTGGAATCTTCAACCATATTTTCAAGCAACTCCTTGAAATATGGGATCAACCACAAGAATGGCCAAATCTCTTGCATCTTCAAATGCAAGCATATCATAGAGGACAGTTCAATCAAAATGAATGCAACAAACTGTTGAAGAATGTTGACATTCTTCAGAGTCTTGACCAAAAGCATTGTGCATTGCAAGTAATGTTTTTTGTTGATTGCTTCAGAAAGCTTCAATCAGTTAAAAAGCTTGCTTTGGAAGGATCTTTGAGGCAGGATTCTGTCAAAATATTTCAGAATTCAAGCACCCTTACCTAGCTCTTGGAAATTCAGTTACTCCCATAGCACATGCAATTATTCACCACATTAAGAGATTTTCTTAAAGAAATGAATGAAATGATCAACTGGCAAAGGTTTAAAAAGCAACCTTCTTATCCTGAATATGGGTACAAACTTCTTAGTTGTGTAATTGATCTTAAAATCCTATATTTAGAAATATATGCACAACTTTTTGCAACAAAGTTATTTTAAATTATTTCATACTTAAGAATAAAATTTTAATACCAATTTCTTTTGATTTTTTATCCAACTAAAAAATCAAAAGAAATTCGATATCTATATTGTATATTGATAATACTAGTATAAGAATGTATATACAAATATTCTTTATGAAATTTGAATCTAAGGGATATTAGTTTGTGATATTTGTAAAATTTAAGGCAAAAAAAGGTGGTTTTTTGAACTTTCGGCTGTGCAAACACTTTTTGATAATAAAAGTTTTTGATGCATTTAAGCGGAAGCTTTAAATGCAATTTTCTCCTGCAGATGTAATTAAAAGATTTTAATTTTTTCTTCAAAGTGATCCCTATAAAATCACCCCTCAAAGGAATTTTTTGAGGTCATTTCCGAAGAGGTTAGGACCCCTTTTTGGACTACTGTGCCTTTCTTGTAACATAGATAAATCTAATACTTTTCTCCTTTTTTTAAATCACATGTCTGAGTGTTGCAATCTGGTTAATCTGCGCTGTACATTCTCCAGTCTATTAACATCTTTAATATATAAAAATTGGTTAGTTTTTGTTATAATTTTTTTTCTGATATAAACATAGGTTATTTTT